GCCTGGCTGCTGTATATAACACCGCACGTCCTGCATGCCTGGCTGCTGTATATAACACCGGACGTCCTGCATGCTTGGCTGCTGTATATAACACTGCACGTCCTGCATGCTTGGCTGCTGTATATAACACTGCACATCCTGCATGCCTGGCTGCTGAATGTAACACCGCACGTCCTGCATGCTTGGCTGCTGTATATAACACTGCACGTCCTGCATGCCTGGCTGCTGAATGTAACACCGCACGTCCTGCATGCTTGGCTGCTGTATATAACACTGCACGTCCTGCATGCTTGGCTGCTGTATATAACACTGCACGTCCTGCATGCTTGGCTGCTGTATATAACACTGCACGTCCTGCATGCTTGGCTGCTGTATATAACACTGCACGTCCTGCATGCTTGGCTGCTGTATATAACACCGCATGTCCTGCATGCTTGGCTGCTGTATATAACACCGCACGTCCTGCATGCTTGGCTGCTGAATGTAACACTGCACATCCTGCATGCTTGGCTGCTGTATATAACACTGCACATCCTGCATGCTTGGCTGCTGAATGTAACACTGCACGTCCTCCTGCATGCTTGGCTGCTGAATGTAACACTGCACATCCTGCATGCTTGGCTGCTGTATATAACACCGCATGTCCTGCATGCTTGGCTGCTGTATATAACACCGCACGTCCTGCATGCTTGGCTGCTGTATATAACACCGCACGTCCTGCATGCTTGGCTGCTGTATATAACACCGCATGTCCTGCATGCTTGGCTGCTGTATATAACACCGTACGTCCTGCATGCCTGGCTGCTGTATATAACACCGCACGTCCTGCATGCTTGGCTGCTGTATATAACACCGCATGTCCTGCATGCTTGGCTGCTGTATATAACACCGTACGTCCTGCATGCCTGGCTGCTGTATATAACACTGCACATCCTGCATGCTTGGCTGCTGAATGTAACACTCCACACTCCACAGCCATATTACATTACACTGGACATATCATATTATATCGGCCATATTACATCACACTGGCCATATCATATTGCACTGGCCGTATTATATTACGCTGGCCATATTGTATTAAACTATCCACATTTTAATGCACTGGTCATATTATATTACACTGGCCGTATCATATTACATTGGCCATATTATATTACGCTGGCCATATCATATTACGCTGTCCATATTACATTACACTGGCCATATCATATTACATCGGCCATATTACATCACACTGGCCATATCATATTACACTGGCCGTATTATATTACACTGGCCATATCATATTACATCGGCCATATTACATCACACTGGCCATATCATATTACACTGGCCGTATTATATTACACTGGCCATATCATATTACATCGGCCATATTACATCACACTGGCCATATCATATTACACTGGCCGTATTATATTACACTGGCCATATCATATTATAACGACCATGTAACGCACCGTTTTGCACACAAGGGGTAAAAACCGTTTAGGCGATCAGCCCCCTTTCCAGAGATACAGGCACAGCTACTGCAGAACACCAAACTCCCAAACTCGAACCTCCCAAATAGCTGCTAGCAGACGAACAGGAAAAGCAGCTTACACTCCTGGCAATCAGTCTCTAACAGCATACAGTGAATCCCCCCAAGAACGAGACAAGGCTCTGTGTTGAGGGTCAAGCAGTGGTCTGAGGTCCTGGCACACCCAGCCTGGTTTTTATTACAGTCTTGCAAATACAGGACCGCCCACAGGGAGGTATAAAACAACCAATCACATCACAGTTACATCCCACATATTCCCTCCCCTATCCTGAGAGGAAACTCAATTATACATACAGTTAAAACATACTTTCTACCCAACTCTCATAACTCTAAAACCATACATCACATTCACATAAAATTACACATTCACAATCAATCCATTCAGGGAACAACATATTAAAAAATGGCCGAATCAGACTCAGGGTTCAAAAGTTAAGTAAAGTCCTCGTGACTAAATGAAGCATGGCTTTCCTGGCCCAAACCAGTTTCAGAGTCTTCTATCCTGGAGATAAGTAATTCACTATCTCCCAGGACACACAAGACTCCATTACAATAGGTTGCAAAAAGACACAAAACACTTTAAAATACATAAAGTCACATTTTACACATAAAACACAGACATGTAACATATCCCCAGATAGCTCAGGTCCGAGCGCACATTATTAAGCGAATGGCGCAAGACCACAGAATACAGTTTAATCGCCATGGAGCCAAAGTCTTTACAGTCAGTTTCATACGAATGGGCTCCATGGGATTCCTATCTGGGGTATAACACATTCAAACAAATCTACCGAACCCCAGGCAGAAAAGCACGAATGAAGCTTTTCTGCAGGTAAAAAAAATGTCTTTTAACAGGGGGCCATAGTCCAAAGGCAGCAGGCGAGCAACCAGGCTTCTCCAATGCAATGTGGCGAGATTGGTCTCGTCACAGACCATATTACATAACACTGGCCATATCATATTACACTGGGCGTATTATATTACACTGGCCATATCATATTACGCTGGCCATATTACATTACGCTGGCCATATCATATTACATCGACCATATTAC